CTTTAGCTCTAAGAGACCCAAAAACCTCTTCTGGCTTCCACAGGCACCCACAAATACACACAAGTTTGCATAGTCTCTTACACATACACATACACACACAAAACTAATCAAACTGAAAAAATTTAAAACTGACTACGGTGTTGCGTCTTCCTAGTTCTCCACAGTTCATTTATTATTTTTTAAAATAATTTTTTGGGAGACAGGCTGCTTTGAACTCACTGCATAGCCCAGACAGGGCTTGGATTTGAGATGTACCTGACTCAGCCTCCTAAATAGCTGGAATTCCTAGGCCCCTGGCCTGGTCTCTTGTAGCTTTTTTTTTTTTTCTTTTTTTAAGATTTCACTTCTTTATTATATATTCAGTGTTCTGCCTGCATGTATACCACAAGAGGGTATCAGACTCCATTACAGATGGTTGTGAGCCACCATGTGGTTGCTGGGAATTGAACTTGGGACCTCTGGAAGAGCAGCCAGTGCTCTTAACCGCTGAGCCATCTCTCCAGCCCCCCATCTTGTAGCTTTTATAAACAATGTTTAGCCGGGCGTTGGTGGCGCATGCCTTTAATTCCAACACTCAGGAGGCAGAGGCAGGCAGATCTCTGTGAGTTCAAGGCCAGCCTGGTCTACAGAGCGAGTTCCAGGACAGCCTCCAAAGCTACGAGAAACCCGGTCTCAAGAAACAAACAAACAAACAAACAAACAAACTAAATTGTTGAAAAGAAAAAGAATGAATAGTGAGAATCAGCAGAGCATACAAAGCACAAGACATATTCCAGACTTTCAGGAGTCTGTCTCTATTGTAATAACATAAAGAAGACAATTAAAGGAAGATCTAGAATGGTCAAGTGCCTCTAACCCTAGAGCTGGGCTGGCCTCAGACAGGAAGATCACTGGGTCAGGCAGCCTAGTAAGAAAAACAAAAGTGACAGCAAAGGAGACACTGCTCAAGGGAATAAGGCAAAGAGCAGCAGGGAAAGACACTGGGCCACTGGGCTCCAAACATTTGCACATGTGAAACTGAACGTGTGTACCTTACCTGCTTTCCCACTCAGGGACAGAGAGAAGGGGGAGAAAGAGACACACACAATGAGAGAGGGGAAGGGGGGAGACCAATATTTTCAAGCCAACAGATAAGATTCTAAGGCTTCTCTCTGAGCAGCAGGAGGACAGAGGGTTCTAGAAGAAAAAAAAGAAAAGAAACCTAATGGCTAACATGACCGAATGATGAAGATATGCAGTCCTGGAGGAAGATACAAATGGACTGCAGACTGCCATAGAGACACAAAAAGGAAACCAAGGATGACGTTTAACTCTAGAAAAAAGAGAGGTGTATGAGAAAGAAAATGTAGGGGACACAGCAGGGGACTCTTTAATGGCAATACGGCCAGAGTCAGAAGCCTGAGGCAGCAGACAATCTGCAGACATGATATGCTGCAATAAACAGGGAAGGGACGCGCAAGGCTGGTGTCACACAGCTGAGCTGGGTACAGCTGTGCTGCAGGCTCTTGCTGCCGGTACCCGGTGCGGAGACAGCTGAGGGCCACAGCAGGTCACTGCACCTGCTCTAGACCACCTTTTCCTGATCTAAGCAGAGACTCAACAGGGGATGCAGCATCCTGGGGACTTCGAGCACAGTTGTGTTTATAGCCAGTCTTTGGTCCCACCACCAATCAAGAAATGAAGTCTCACAACAAGGGGCAATCAAGAAACAACAGAGTGCAAGTCGGGGGAAGAAAGACTTGTTTTTTTAAGGAAAAACAAAACGCCCAAATTAAAAGTTTAAAAGATTCCCAGACCACCCCTTGAAGAAAATTTTACATTGAAAAGAACGGCAGTTACTCAAAGCAATGCCTTCAGTTGACAAGGGATACCACTCTTCACACACTTGGCAATACAGCTAAAGCCAGGTGAAACCCTTCAAGCAGCAAGGCCAAGCAACTCACCCGGAAACGATGCTGTAGTTGAGAGCAGGATGGTTTTTCGAAACAGGAGGGACGAGAGGCTCTGGCTGCCACTCTTCAATCAGTTCCTCCTTTTCCTACACAAGAAAGGACATTAGAGTGTGGTGCAGCCGAGTCGCCTCCCGCTGTCTCTGGTGATAGCTGACTCTAACACTGCAACAGTGAGCAGCGCACTACAGAAACACCTCGGCCAGCTGTTGTGGAGAGCCAAGGGCAGCCTTGAGTTCAGGGCACTTACCACCCTCACCTCTTCCTTATTACAGCTCTCACATACACCCTTTTTCTCTTCATGCAGGTTCTGGGTAACCTGACAACTTAAAAATCTTATTTCTATGCCTGGGGTTTCTTCCATCTTACTACACATAACACATCAAAATTCTACTTGAGATGTAAGTATTTCCAACCCTGAATCCCCTTTCTGAAGACCACATGGAGGACTCTCCTCTAGGCCGCAGGGACAACTCCCATAACTTCTGTGTAGACACTGGCGTCCAGCTGCTGCGCATGCATCCCTCAAACGGCCTGCTAGCAGGCTGCTGTCTCCTCCAGGGTGGCTTTATCCCACTTTCCTCAAACTTTGCTTACTAGAAATTCCATACTCCCTGCTCTCCTCACATTCAACCTTTTCACATACACCGCAGAGCTGAGTTCTAGTCCACTATGGGAAGATGATGCAGCTGCCACATACCCTGAATAAAACAGGCACCATTTCTTACCTTGGCTGTAAGATCAGAACGCTCTTGCAACTTGTAGGTTTTAGAGAAAACCAGTCTGATTATCCAAAGTATTAGAATCCCCTCCAGAATAAGATGGTATGCTGGAGCCTGCAAGAGAGAAAAGCAAAAACAAAGGAAAGAAACCAAGGAAGTCACTTCGAAGCCCGCAGGGACATTCAGCCCATCACAGCGCTGCCTCTCTGACCACCACACTGTTTACCACATACACCTTACTGCCAGGACTTCCTCAACGGCCCTTCACGCCTTTCCACCTAAACAACAGGCAGTTACTCATCACATGAGAAACCCCTAATACTTCAGCTTTAAAACCTTTCAGTAATGAAAATGAAAGAGAGGTAAGACCTGACATACAATCCCAACACCTAAAAACAACTCTAGCACATTGTTCAGATAGTTTACATTCTTATTGGCAGAAAATGACTGTAAGATAACAGCACACAAAACTATGTGGAAAGCAGCTTCCACGATTACTGTATCTTCCGTATCCTGCTAAATCTCTTTAAATCTTAGACAATGCAGAGTGGAGTATGGATGGGGGTGGCAGTAATAAATGCTTAAAGAAAATCCCTTCTCTTTTCGATCATTTTACCCAAAGGATGCCAACCTGCTCCATGTTGATAGGTACAAAGATATCTTAATTTTTTCCCCTTCCCCCGATATCTTAATTTTTAATAAAATTTTGTTACTTTATTTTTATGTGTATCAGCATTCTCTCTACACGCATGACTGTCTACCACATGTGTGCCTGGCATTCCCAGAAACCAAAGGATTCCCTGGGACGTGTTACAAATGGCTGTGAGTCACCAGGTGGGTGCTGGGAATTGAACCCAGACGCTCTGGAAGAACTGTAAGTGCTCTTAAATGTTGAGCCATCTTAGTAAGATAAGGGTTCTTGGCTATTCTACTATTTTGTCCTCTACACAGTTCCAGGATAAAGGCATGATTGAGTTTTTGTAGAAGAATCTAGACACCAATAACTCTCCAGTCAGTTAGTGATTTGGATACTTTGTTCCAGTGGGTTATCACCAGAAAAATCATTTAAAACAGGCATGTTAAAGTGGGCGTGGTGGTGCCTTTATTTCTAGTACTTGGGAAGCACAGGCAGGCAGATCTTTTAAGGCCAGGATGGTCTACACAGTTGGAGTGTATCACAAACCTTCAGCAACAACAGCAACAAAACAGAAATCCAGGCCTTTTTTTTTTTTTTTTTTTTTTTTTAGACAGTTCTCACGATGTTGCCATGGCTGGCCTGGAACTTGTTATGTAGACCAGGAGTGCTGGGATTAAAGGGATGAGCCACCATACCTGGCAAACCAAGACTTTTAAAATTAAGGCATGGTGCTATATGCCTGAAATTCCAGGAGCATCTGGAGCTCAAGGCAAACCCAGGCTACACAGTGAGACTTTGTCTCAAAACACAGAACTCTCTATGCAACGTGATTTATCTGGTCGATCACACAGCTCTACCTCCAGGCTTCGGATCCGTGTGGTCCAACACATAGTCACTTGTCATATATCATCACCGACATGCACATTAAGGCGCAACTACAAATTCATTGCCAGTGCCTATTATCACGTGGCGTTAGTGGCTGCCGTGTTGAAGAGCCCCTGAGATATTAGACACGCACGTTCTATAGGACATAGCATGGAAGCTCAGTTGTTCAATAAATCACCATTCTCCCAAGAACTGGCATTTGTAATTCATATTTTCTTACACAGCTGCATGAAACCACCTTAGCCCTTCAACTATTCTTTAAAATATCCTTCAAAACGTTATGTTTATAACACAGAAATTGTGGGCTACTCCGTTTTCACAGATTCCCAATTATTCTGCTTTTCTAAACCACTCTTCCCCCGACCTGGGCAGAGCTTACAGTTTATGAAAAGGCATTCCTCACATCTAAGACCGCCCACACCCACAAACCCAGTCTCGCCATCAGTTCCAACTGTGGCTCCGAAGACTTGCGTGTCCTCAGCACCCCTCCCAAGGGCTGCTCTCCGGAGTCCTGCAGGACTCCAGGAGGCGAGAACAGCCGACACTCCGTCCCCTGTGCTCCCCGGGAGCAGGAAGCCCCGCGGATCTGGGGCTCAGGTCGCTAGAACCCGGCCGCGGGCTCACGGGAGGCTCCGGCGACGGACGCACCTCGTACAGCGCCTGCACCATCTCCACCAGCACCCACTGCTCCGCCGCCATCGCCATGGTCAGCTACCCGGCTTCCGGCAGGCGGGTCACAGACGCGTCAAGTAGTGCGCGGCGCGGACTAGTGGCGTCACGAAACCTCGGGGGCGGGACCGCCGGAAGTTGGGCGTTGCCTGGTCGCGCGAGTTGGTTGTTCGTGGACCCGGGCAGAGAAGACAGGGATTCGGAGCCCTGAGATTCGAATTGCGTTGCCCAGTGGACTTTTGTTGAGAGAATCAGTACGTGGCCCTTGTTCTTGACGGTCGGCTAAGCTCAGGGTTATTAAGATAAACGACATTAGGCCGGGCGAGGTGGAGCATGCCTTTAATCCCATTTGGGAGGCAGAGGAGAGCTGAGCTGTGAGTTCCAGTCTGGACGCTCTACAAGGCCTGTTCCAAGCCAGCCAGGGATACACAGTGAGACCCTGTCTCAAAACACACACACACACACACACACACACACACACACACACACACACACACAATTAAAACAACACGAAGGAAATATACCCTGCCTTTTAATAACAAGCAATACAGTCATGCAGCATTATTAAAATAACCCACACAAGTCTACGTAGGTTCTTCCTCAGGGCGAGCCGAGAGCCTCCTTTCATAATGTGGGGATGTGTGGCTATTCTCATCTGAAGTATGAGAAGCTGCTATGAACATTTAGACGCCAAGCTTCATGTGCACACCAATTTACGTTTCCAGAAACTTGGCCAGAAATGCCATTGGGACAGCGATTTTATTTTATTTATTTTTTAAAGGGGAGAGAAGTAAATTGGGGCTGGAGAGATAACTCAGTCAAGAAAGAGAGCCAGAGTTGAATTCCCAGCACCCACGAAAGAAAACAAACAAACAAACAAAAAAACCAAAACCCAGGGCTCTCTGAAGGGGATCCCCAGGTAGGGGCTTCCTCCAGACCCCACACACCCAAACCCCTGTTTTCCGGAGAGATCCTTTTTTAAGTGGGGGGAGAAAAGTTATTAAAGTGGCTGCTCTCTGACTCAGGAGAAAGCAGCAGCAGATGACCTTGCAGGTGTCATTTTTAAGAGGAGTTTTGTGTTAGAGTGAGCTAGGATGTGGTGGTAAGAAGATAAGAGGAAGGGGTATTTATTCCAGAGGGACAAAGGAGGGCCCCTGGATAGAGAGGAGACAGACATTAACAGCCACTCTCAGCTTTCTGGATGGAAAGCAGGTATTTTATCTCCTCCATTGAGGACACACCTCTTGAGTGTTTAACCATCCTGGTTTCCCTAGTGCTTATTTGTGAATACAAGGACCTCATTGTAGGTAAAAGGGTCCAGCCAAAGAAACATACCCTGAGCAGAGCCAAAGAAACACACTTTGTCCCTGCAACCAGACCTAAAGAATTGCACCCTGACCCTGAAACCAGTGCCAAAGAAATACACTTTGACCCTGGAATCAGAGCCAGTGAAAGAAATACACCCTGGCTCTAAAACCAGAGCCAAAAGACTAAAAAGGACCAGTCAGTGCAAGAAACACATTTTGGCCCTGAAATTAGAGCTAAGTTTGACCCTAGGCCTGTGCAGAAAACTAACCAATCCATGAGCAGGAGATCTAGTCAGGGATTGAAATCTGACCAATCCCCACCCTGAAGAGAACTTCCCCTCCCCCAAGAAGTCCTATATAAACCCTGTGTCTGTTCAGCTTGTGGCTGTTGGGGCTGCCTGGCTGTCCTCTGCCAATGTGACAGAGGGCAGCCACTCTACTGGGTTCTTCACTCCCAATAAACCCCTTGGATGAGCTTTGGGTGAAGACCTTCTTTTGCGGCAGAGCAGAGATGACCCTGGGCAGAGCAGAGGGAGAAGGGCCGGGGAAACCTTCCCCTGGAAGAGTGGAGTTGTTATGCTCTGCTCTCTACTCTCCCCGGAGCAGAGCTGAACTGTAGCAACTTCGCCTGTCTGGGAAACCCTCTCCTGTGGTAGCAAAACTGCAACACTGGGAAAATATCCCCAGCTAGGACACCCTTCCCTCCTGGTGGGACAGAGCTGATACACTAGGGAAACCTCTCCGTGACACAAGACTGTAAGCTGCTATGCTTACTGTGACCTGTGGTATTCCTTGGCTCCCGAGTGCCAGAATACCTTTCTATCCAAGCTGTAACACTCAGTATTCTTTGGCTCGCGAGAGCCGTAATCCATCCATGTTCATCACATCCGATCTGTCGAGATGCTTACACTCATGCCCTCCACAACAAGGCACAGCCTGAAAAGCCACTGTTTTACACATTATGGAGTAATTTAGAGTGGAACTTAGCATCAATACCTGTTCTGCCTTCCTCGTTACTGGTAGCTGCCTCCAGAATCCATCATGGCTGCAAGCCCTCGACCATTATTGTCCACTGCAGAAATTGCTATTTTCTCCCAAAGAGAATGGGGATAAATTCACTCTGACTTTTCTGTGTATTTTTGGAAATGAACAGCACTGTGTCTCATCCCTAGATAAATTCCTTTTGGAATTTCTATTCTTTGGCAACTTAGTAATTGCAGCAGTTGCCATTTTTGAATGCCACTGAAAACTAGAACAAATGGAGTGGGCACAATGTGGCATTTTCATTGCTGCATGCATTATGTAAATAGTCAAACTAAGGCCATCAGCACATCCATCCTAGGCCTTTACTCTGTGTCTAACCTCTGTGGTTTTATGGATTGTAGCTTGCTTATCAAAGACTTAACAGTGATTATTCCCTCCAAAAGCAAATACGTACCATATTTGTCTTTCTGGGTCTGGGTTACCTCATTCAGGATGTTTTTCTTTTTTTTAGCTACATCCATTAACCTGCAAATTTCATGATTAAATTTTAATGACTGAATAATATTCCCTTATGTAATTATACCACATTTCTTTACCTTTCATTGATTGGCAAACATGGAGGTTGTTTCTAATTTCTGACTGTTACGAATTGAGCAGCAATGAACATGGATGTTGAAGTATCTCTGTGGTAGGATGTAGAGTGTAGCTGGATTCTGAGGGAGATCTATTGCTAGCTTCTGGAGGAGCCACCTCACTGATTTCCATAGTGGTTATACAAGTTTGTACTCTCAGCAACAATGGATGAGTGTTTCTCTTAGCCCACATCCTCACCAGCATGAGCTGTCTGGCTTTATTGATCTTAGGCATTCTGACTGGTATAAGATGGAATCTCAAAGAAGTTTTGATTTGCATTTCCCTGATGACTAGAGATGATGAGCTTTCTTTAGGTGCTTCTGAGCTATGTGTGTTTCCTCATTTGTTTAGATCTGTACCCCATTTTTAAATTGGGTTATTAGTTTACTTGATTTGTGGTTTTTTTGTTATTTATATATTTTGAATATTAGACCTCTATTGGTTGTGCAGTTGGTAAAAATCTTTTTCCATTCTGTAGCATGCTCCTTTGTCCAAGTAACAGTGTCCTTTGCAATTCAGAAGCTTTTTAAGTCATGAGGTTCCCTTTGTTAATTGTTCTTAGAGCTGCAATAACAGTGCTCTGTTCAAAAAAGTATTTTCCTGTGCCATTGAGTTCAAGACTATCCTCCAGTTTTTCCTCTATCAGATTCAGTGTATCTGACTTTATGTTGATTTCTTTTATCCATTTGGAGTTGAGTTTTGTACAGGGTGATAGTTGTGAATCTATTTGCATTTTTCTACCTGCAACCACTCAGTTTAAGCAGTGCTATTTGTTGAAGATGCTGTCCTTTTTCCAGTGTGTATTTCTGGCATTTTAAAGTTGATTTTGGCTATGGGAGCTAGCTTTAAATTGCCTCTGTTATCTTGAGGTATATTCCTTGTATCCCTAGTCTCTTGAGGAATTTAATCATGAAAGAATGTTGGATTTTGTCAAAACCCTTTTCTGCATTTAATGAGATGATCATGTGGTTTTGTCTTTCAATTTATTTATATGGTGTATTGCATTTATCAATGTACACATGTTGAATCATTCTTGTATCTCTAGGATAAAGTCTACTTGATCATGGTGGATGACCTTTTATGTTTCTTGGGTAGAAATACATAGATTAATAGTCATGGGTTAATAATTGAGAGAGAGCTAGCCAGTAAGAAGCCCAAGCAATTGGCCAAACAGTTTATAATTAATATAAGCCTCTTTGTGTTTATTTAGGGCTAAGCTGCTGTGTCCTGATATTCTGCACAGGGTATATAAGAACAACTGCAAGACACTATTTGCTGCTGCTTTAACTCCAACTCCCCAAGAGAGTGAGAGAGTGTGTAACCCCTCTCCCTCAGCTCAAAGGGTCATGTATGAAGACAAGATCGTGCCCTCAGGTTTGCTGCCCCAAAAGATCATTGGCTAAATGGATTGGAATCCCATAACACTTGTCTTTTTATCTAAAGAAGGTTCTAATCCTAACACAAAACTATCAAGTATTGTGCGGAAGAAAGAAAAGGCTAGCTCAGTTGGTAGAGCACGAGACTCTTAATCTCAGGGTTATGGGTTCATGCCCCATGTTGGGCACAAAATGTAGCTGGAGTCTTTTCTCTGGCTGGTCTAGAACTCATAGAGATCCGCCTGCCTCTGCCTCCCAAGTACTGGGATTAAAGGCATGCGCCACCACCACCTGGCTGTCCCGTGAATCTTAATCTGTGCATCTACAGATATTAGCTGTAACTATCTAGTCTTCAACCTCACTAAAGACATGAGAAGGAAATAACATTACTAGGGTAAGCAGGAAGTGCAAGTGGGCAACTTCCTAAAGGCGCAAGAAATGACAGAAACAGCAGGCTCCCTGGACAGTCACCCAGCATCTCACAGTAATGTTGGGGTAACCAACTTTGGCTAAGGCCTAGATTATCTGACAGACCATCTCAGAAGCAAGAAAATTTGAAAGACTGTTCTACCCTTACTTGGCAAGGTTCAGCAGTCTCTTTACGTTTATCTCCTGCTAGCCCAGTTAGGACTGCATGTTCAATCTCAGTGGTTGAGGCAGGGGCAGTTCTTTGTCCAGAAGGCCAGTAGTGCCAAGAAGAAAACAAACTCCAAATGAAGTGTCATGGGCGCCCATCATACTCTCGGGAATAGCTTGGTGCTGTCAGGAGCAATTGTGTCTAATGTCAACGAAGTTCTAAATTATTAAAACATTTAAATGCCATATTCTGTAGGTCTTTCAAGTGTTTGAATTAAAATATCTGTGCTGGGTACCTCTCTGAGCATATAGGGAACCTGACTAATATCATTAGGTATAAGAAGCATGGATAACTATAATCTCTAATCCTCAGAAACATATTGCTTACTGACTGAAGCTTCTCATATATAATTTAAACAACCTTTAAACAGATGTACAGCATAAGGACAATGACCTCAAATTTGTAACTGTATACATTTATTATATGTAAATCTCTATATCAGAGGTAGAACTGAAATTCTTGACCAGATGAGAACTATGTAATGCAAATTGATAAAAATATCCTAAATTGTATCAATATACAAAATATCTTAAGCAAATGTAGAAACATACATACAATATGATAAAGATAATCTTTCATTTGTTCACAAAGACAAATGTAAACAGAAAGAGGAGCCTACACAGTATGACAAATATAATTTCAAGTTTGAAACTATATAAATTATCTAAGACAGGAATACAAAATTAATTTTACATAAATTTCAATATATAAGAATCTATAACAATTTAAGTTGTCTATAGATAATAGTTGCTAAAATAGTTCACAAGAAAATTAATACTAATCTACTTATATCCCATCCCATTCCTTCTCTTTACAGTGTACAAAAGATTATTGTACAACAGGGAAAGAACATATAGGTTACATAAGGTTATCTCATACACTACACCATTTTCTACAAGGGACTTGGGCAACTACAGGAATGAGTTAATCCTATATAGACCCAAATCTAAGCCTTGTAAACTAAAGCCCTTCTTATAGAATGGCAGAGGATTTGTAGATAACCTATGCACACATGGCCTGTTTCAAGCCACTTCAGATTATTTCTGAGACAGAGTAAGGGCTGTGTACATTATTGCTAAACTGTATTATTTAGGTGTTATTTATATGAAAAAAGGTTTGTACATATTCAATACAAATGCAAACTGTTTTACTAATATTTTGGTTCTGAAGTTGGTTGAATTCACAAATGTGGAACCTACAGGAGCCCAGGATAGACTGTGTTTTAAATATTTATGTATATTTCTAACTATATGCAGACATTATTGTGTTTATCTCTTCCCATGTTCTATTGGGAATCTAGTATGACTATCTCCAGGTAATGAAAAAATCCTCATGTATGTTTGTTTTAGCATTTTCCCTTTATCTCTCTTTTGTCCCCTTTTCCTCTCTTTTCATCTACTATGGTGCTTATCTGGAGTAGACACAGAAAACAACTGAGTCAACCCTCCCTAAGGAGGGTTCTAGATCCAGCCAGGGTTGAGTTGTGATGAGTGCATTGGTGTGCACTTCTCAAAGTATTAAACAGGAAGGAGGCCATAGGACAGGGAACAATTAAACTAGCTAGCCCCAGCTCCGAGGTTCTGCCTTCAATGTTTACTTTAAATCCCTCTGCACATAAAACAGAGAGCCTGGTGGTTTTGTTTTTCTCTTTTGTGCAACCAAGTTGGAGAACCGTGAAGATGAAATTATGTAACCTGAAGGACCCAACTAGCAGCAGGCAGTAGTAACCGACAGCATTGTTATCATTAGAAATTTCCCAGGATGATTGGGGTCAGAAGGACCTTAAAGCACCTCAGAGGATGATCCCAGAACACTTCTGGGGAGACTCCTTCCTGCTCACACAACACCATCCCCAGCAGCGTGGCTCACAGCTTGTCTTCGCTGACTTCCTTTGGGTCATTCAAGGTGAGGAAAGCATTCACACTTGACTTGAGCAAAGGAGTGTACCACTGATAAGACAAAAGGAGTGCAAAATAGGCTGAGGATTTCAGCTCCCTTCATCCTCCACAACAGCCCACGTTTAATGAAAAGACTTGCAAACTGTGGTACAGTTCACCTTGACACAGTGAATGTCCCAAGGCTGGCTTCTTTTAGACATGACCTCCTTACCTGCTTTCCTGCCCTTGGTGTTCCCGGGGGAGTCAAGTGACCTCTCTTGGCTTCTCTTTCCTGGGGTGTGCACCAAGGACCTCTGACAGGTGCTTCCTGAGGCAGCCTATTTCTGGCTCACCCTTCAGACATCACCATCTCTGGCAACTGGTGAGGTTTAGGATTGGTTATGAAGAAATGAACCTGCTGGGTAGTGGTGGCACACACCCTTAACCCTAACACGTAGTGGGCACAGGCAGGTGGATCTCTGAGTTCCAGAGCACCCTGACCTATAGAGTGAGTTCCAGGACACCCAGGGCTACACAGAGAAACCCCTGTACCAAAAATAAAACAACAAAATCCAAACAAAAAAGGAACCTGCCTGGAAAGACATGGTACAGGCAGTCAGTTACACAAAAGAAAGAGGGCAGCTAAGAGTGTATCATAAGCTGCCATATTGCTGGATCAGTGGGATGAGACCAGAAGGCTCAAAGAAGAGGAGCCAGGGCTGGGCGTTGGTGGCACATGCCTTTAATCCCAGCACTTGGGAAGCAGAGGCAGGGGCATCTCTGTGAGTTCGAGGCCAGCCTGGTCTTCAAAGAGATTTCCAGGACAGTCTCCAAACCTACAGAGAACCCTGTCTTGATAAACAAAATGAAACAAACAAACAAAAGAATAGGGGTCAGGTCTGAGCAGAGAGAGTTTCCTGGCTAAACTCACCACCCCTCTCCAGTGCTCACCCAGTACTGTATGCATGTGTTCTAGCCATGCCCAGATGGAGTCCAGACTGAACTGTAGTAAACTGGACGTTCTCTGTTTGGCATTTGCATGTGTGTGTGTACAAGAGCACTCACCCTAGTGGGGGTGTATGATGGCCATAGATAGATTCTGTGTAAAGCATATGGTGGGAAGCGTTTGAGGACAACATTCAGATAGGATGACTTCCTGGACAGCTATCATTTGCCAAAACTAAATCAAGAACAGATAAGCAATTTAAATAGACCTATAACCCCTATGGAAATAGAAGCTGTCATCAAAAGTCTCCCAACCAAAAAAAGTCCAGGTCCAGATGGCCTCAGTGCAGAATTCTACCACAAATTCAAAGAACAGCTTATACCAATTCTTCTCAAAGTGTTCCACACAATAGAAGCAGAAGGGTCTTTGCCAAACTCTTTCTATGAGGCTTCAATAACCTTGATCCCCAAGCCACACAAAGATACAACTAAGAAAGAGAACTTCAGACCAATATCCCTCATGAACATTGATGCAAAAATACTCAATAAAATACTGGCAAATCGGATCCAAGAACACATCAAAACAATCATTCACCACGATCAAGTAGGTTTCATCCCAGGGAAGCAGGGATGGTTCAACATACGAAAATCCATCAACGTAATCCACCATATAAACAAGCTGAAAAACAAAAATCACATGATCATCTCACTAGATGCTGAAAAAGCCTTTGACAAAATCCAACACCCCTTCATGATAAAGGTCTTGGAGAGATCTGGGATAACAGGGACATACTTAAACATAATAAAAGCTATATACAGTAAACCAACAGCTAACATCAAACTAAATGGACAGAAACTCAACGCAATTCCTCTAAAATCAGGAACAAAACAAGGCTGTCCACTCTCTCCATACCTTTTCAACATGGTACTTGAAGTTCTAGCTATTGCCATACGACAACAAAGGGGGATCAAGGGGATACAATTGGGAAGGAAGAGGTCAAACTTTCACTGTTTGCAGACGATATGATAGTTTACATCAATGACCCAAAGAACTCTACCAGGGAACTCTTACAGCTGATTAACACCTTCAGCAAAGTGGCAGGCTACAAGATCAACTCAAGAAAATCAGTAGCCCTACTATATACAGATGATAAAAGGGCTGAAAGAGAAATCAGAGAAACATCACCCTTTACAATTGCCACAAACAACATAAAATACCTTGGGGTAACGCTAACCAAACAAGTGAAAGACCTGTATCGTAAGAACTTTGAATCTTTAAAGAAAGAAATTAAAGAAGCCCTCAGAAAATGGAAAGATCTCCCATGCTCTTGGATAGGTAGGATCAATGTAGTAAAAATGGCAATCCTGCCAAAAAGCAATCTACAGATTCAATGCAATCCCCATTAAAATCCCAGCACAATTCTTCACAGACCTTGAAAGAACAATAATCAATTTTGTATGGAAAAACAAAAGACCCAGGATAGCCAAAACAACCCTGTTCAACAAGGCAACGTCCGGAGGCTTCACCATCCCTGACCTCAAGCTCTATTATAGAGCTATAGTCCTGAAAACAGCTTGGTATTGGCACAAAAATAGACAGGTAGACCAATGGAATCGAATTGAAAATCCGGGTATTAACCCACACACGTATGAACATCTGATCTTTGACAAAGAAGCTAAAAATATACAATGGAATAAAGAAAGCATCTTCAACAAATGGTGCTGGCATAATTGGAGGTTAGCCAGTCTAGCCATAATGGCAAGTTCAGTGAGAGATTCTGTGTATGGGACTAGGAAATTATTTTTCTTTGTGCCTACTAATATACTCCTGCTTTTGTTAGTGTGTGTGGTTTGTGGCAGTTCCTCAATAGTCATGTGTGAGAATTGAGGAAAAACAGGCAGACAAGAGACACAAATCCTTTATTTTTCTGTATCCTTCCCTTTTCTTTGACATCCAGTCTCATAAATCCTTCATCTTTTCTCTATGGGAGGTGTTGGTGGGATGGCTATTTCTGCCCAGGTCATAGAATCCTGGATGGAGATGGCAAGCATATCTGTGCCAGGAACTGCTCAGTCTCAAGTCTCTCTTAGTATGCAGAACACTATAGAACGTGTTGCCAGGAGCCCTGCAGGGATGAGAACCTCTCTAGTTTAGACACTGTTTGAATAAGTGGTGGTTTGAACCAGAATGTCCCCCATAGGCTCATATAGTTGATGGTTAATCACCAGGGAGTGGAACCCTTTGAAGGGATTAGAAAGATTGGGAGGTGTGGCCTTTTAGGAGGAAATGTGTCACTGGGTTAGGCTTTGAATTTCCAAAATATCCCATGCTAGCCGCAGTCTGTGTCTGTCTGTCTCTGTCTGTCTCTGTCTCTTTCTCTCCACATGTATGCATGCATACATACATACATACATACATACATACATACATACATACAGTCTATGCTGTCTGTCTGCCATGATAAGTATGGACTCAGCCCCTCAAACTGTGAGCAAGTCCCCAGTTAAATGCTTTGTTGTATCAGAACCTCAGTAACGGTGTCTCTTCACAGCAATAGAACAGTGACTAAGTTAAACAGTTTGCAGCACGTGGTGGCTCCTTTTTTAATGTGTGTGCTTTGTAGGATTCTCTGGAAGTGAAGTTACAGGTGCTTGTGAGCCACCGTGTGATTGCTGGGAACTGAACATAGGCTCTTTGCAAGAGCAGCAAGTGCTCTTAGTTGCTGAGCCATCTCTCCAGCCCCATAGCCTGGTTCTCAGTCTTAGCCACCATCCATCCACCATCGGCTGAGCTGTCTCTGAGACCTCACCCTCCTGTTCATTTGCTTGAGCTGCCTCGTGGTGGCTTCTGGGAGAAAACGTTCCTTCCATGTTATATTATTTATTAGTTACTTCAAATATTAAAATATATACTCATTATTGTTTATTCTTCCTGCAATCCAATTGATTTTAGAATGACAAATTTAAACAGCTATGCCCCACAGTCCTTATGCATCTTAGGGTCTTTGAATAACGAGAGGGTAAAATCCAAGAGTGTTGGCTAAGCTGGCATTGGGATTTTGAAGTCTGTAATGGATTTGAAAAGCTCATTGTGATCTTGCAGAAAGTGTCACTGCCCACCCTAAAGTTTGAGTCAGTTCCCCAATACTGGAAAACGATGATCAAAATGAGGCCATTAAATTCTAACCTGTTAGGCTTGTACATATATCCACTTTTTTTTTTTTTTTTGGCTGATAAAAGTTTGTATTCACATGGCCACCACACAGAGTCAACTGTAAACTGACTTACTGTGTAATCTGTAGCCAAATACTACAGGATAACCTTGCAGCCATCGATCCAGCCAATCACAGCAATGATTCTTCAGCCAATCAAAAGCTGCCAATAGATCTCCTGGTGCCTGGCATGAGCCTGTAGCCAATCGGGCTGTTTCTGAATGGTTTGCAGCCCTTTGGTGGTTTAACTGTCAAGTCTGCAGCACTGCTGAAGGTAGAACAGGTCAGGATTTGATTAATGTAACAGCTGTCAGCTATCCTGTAAGGATCCCCACCCAGACCCCAGCAGAAAACCAGTCTGTGTCCGCCATGGCAGTTATTGGGAATTCAGAGGAGCGAGAGCTGCTGGGACTTAAACACGAAGCTGAATTACCTGGCAGTATAGAAGCCACAGCATCTAGAGCCACTGACCTCCTGCATAGGAACACCTTGCTAACTGTACCTCTGCCTGAGAGCCTGGCAGCATCTGGCATGGGCAGCAGGGGAGGGTGCCGGTGTCGGGGGGGGGGGAGATGTTGACAGCAGAATTTAACACCAGGGAGGGGTGGAGGAGGCTGTGGGGCACCAGAAAGGGGAGGAGTTTGCTAGGGGAGTGCTGGAGCAGAGCCAGAAAAGGGCAGGGAAAGCTGAAAGGGCCCTGGGAACTCAGGCTCTACAGCGCCCCCTGTGGGCTCCGGGAAAGGTGCAGGCCTCCAATTTCTTTTGTGCTTTCATCCCAAGGTGGTGGGAGACCCAAGGTTGGGGAACCTGTCTGGAGGAAAAGCGAGCTACACCAACAGCAATGGAGTGGAGCAGAGTGCAGCTGCTGCCAGCCAGGCTGAGGCCTCAGGATTCACATCTCGACAGGGAAGACATTTTCCTTTCAGTGCCTCGGTGCCCTTCAGCCACTGTAGGAGCGGGCGTGGTGTTGTCACTGCAGCCAGATCCTGGACATGGCAGCAGGTAAGTCAGGGGAGCCCGACCCCACCCGAGGGGCATACGTGCACAGACTGGGTAGTGCAAGATGGTTTGGAAGGACGGAACCCCGTAAGGCACATGTTTCCAAGGTCAAAGCTGCAAGGGCTTTGGGATTGTAGACGAGACCTTTACCATCATAGGAAGTTACAGAAGCCCTCTGCTTGCCATGTGCCAGGAAGTGACGTGAAAAAAGTGACCTGAAAGATTATCCAGATCCTTTTATTATGTGTGTTGTGAGTTTCTAATAGATACAAATGCTAACTTTTGTGCTAAAAAGACATTGCTTGATTTTATTGGAAACAATTTATTGTCTATGGTTTAGCAAGTGAAAATCACATTAGTGACAATGCATAAAAAATAAAAGCCCTGATAGGAAAATGATCCAGATGGCTACCAGAGTGTTTCAGTCTTGCAACCCATTTCCCTGCATGCAATATTAACGCTCACCCTGCCCTGTTTTGTAGCTGAAGCAAGGGAAGTTTCAGACCACTAAAGTTTGCCTCACTCCAGGGACCACAGTGCACCAAACCTGAGCATGCTTCTCTCTGAGCTTTCCTCAACAGTGAAAATGGTGTGTAAAGTGTTCAGCATGTTACCACAGGAATATAAGGGTAGAGTGTGGGGTGCTTATTCCAAACCTTCAGAAGGATCCCCAAGTTGAGAGGCTTTCTGTGGTCATGTGACCATTGCTGAGAAATGGTAAAGATCATTAAGGCCTCAGTGAACAAGTAGTGGGGAGTCCGGGTCCTGAGCTAAGGGAGGGGGTGCATTGATGTCATCACCACAGATGAGAGCAAATGCCTGGAGCCAAGTGAAGTCAGAATCAAGAGGCCCCAAAGGCCACCTGTCCTAGAGGACATGTTAGCATATTCCAGTCCTCATGTAGTGTGGCTGGCATCTGTAAGGGCTTCTATGACATCTCTGTGGGTTCTGGAGCTCATGTGCTGTCCTGGGTGTTGTGGGTGTTTTTGCGTGGTGTTTCTGTGTTGGTCAACGGTCTCTACGGAGGGCTTTAGAAAATCTGTTGAAGAGAGGGTCTGAGAGAGAACTTTGGGGTTCTCTGTGTGGATGTTGCTACATGTCCTTGGGGGAGTGTTTAGGGGTGACATCAGGGGTCTCTATGTTGGGAATGTGAAGGTCTGGGGGCGTGTCTAAGGGGAACCTGGGTGGGCTCTATCAGAGTCTCTAAAGATAGAGGTGGAGGAGCTGGGGAGATGGCTCATCAGTTAGGAGCACCGCTGAGGACCTGGTTTCTTCCAGGTACTAACGTCTAGTGGTGCACAGCTGTCTGTATCTCCAGTTGCAGGGATCGGAAGCCTCCACAACACTGCAGGTGTGCGGTGCGCATATAGACAAAGAGGCACACGCATGCGCATAAGTTAGGAAAACGGTGGCTGTGGCCTTCTCAGGGTGGGAGGCTCTGTGGCTGCTCTTCTGTTTTCCCATCCTCGTGTCCCACCCGGGCCCTGGGACCTGAAGCCTGGCCGGAAGTGGAGGGAGGCCCAGGCTGCACCCGCATTTTGGACAAGTCCCTTCCCTGTATGAACCAGCCCTGTAGGATAGCCTGATCTCCTACTGGTGTCATGGGAAGACAAGGGCTGGAAGCCCAGAATGACTTGCTGTGTGATCCCAGGTCATGCTCTTTATTATGTCAGGGCCCCTCCTCTGCCCCGAGGGTGGCAGCAGTGCCATGGGTGCGTATGAAGGCCACCAAGGTATGAGTCCCATTCACAATTGCTAGGTCTGGCTCTCCCAGCAATGAGTGACACATCTTTCTGAAATTAAAAGAGCAAGAACATGCAGAGTAGTCAGCCCTGCTCTTAGGAAATAGTATCCCTGCTTGAATGCTCTGATTGCTCTCAGAAGTCTGTGATGGAAGTGAAGGGTCTCTCCAGGCTTGTGGTTGAGGCCAAGAGCAAGAGTCCCTGGGATGGAGTCAGAGAGAGGATGGCTCAGTGCCTGAGGTCTGGTCACTAGAGTTAGTGCTACCGTCTGTGAGGCCAGAGGCTTCCTTCCAAGGCAACCATGATTACACACGCAGAGCTGAGCACATGGAAGACAGGAGACCCCTGGACAGGGTGACACACCCCTCCAATGCCATCTTGTGGTCCCCACCCTGCAGGCCTTTAGGTTCAGTTTAGCACGAGACAGGGGAGGGAAGCAAATACGAGGAGGATGACACCACATTGTCAACCAGGCGGAGTTCAGGGACTGTGGGCCTTAGCTCTTACAGACTCAGCAGGGAGAGCGGGGGCTTCTCTCCTGGGGATTAATTTCCCCCAGGAAACAGAATGCAGGAGCTTTCTATCTTTCAGCTCAAGAGCGCTACACCCTAACATTCCCGAACCCTCCTTGTGACATGTGAGCTCCTGGGCCTTCTTGTGCCCTGCACACCCAGATCTTCACCGACACAAATGTAGGACAAAGCCAGAGGGGCAGGTTGAACGAGACCCAGAGGTGGGGTCACTGGCGGATTAGTGCATCTCCACATGTAGGATGCTTTCTCTGATGCTGGGATGGCAAGCCTTCAATGCAGCTAGGGATGTGGGGTGAGTGAGAGTCTCAGTGCCCCTGTCATGTCTCTGTGCTCCTCACTTCTAGAAGCTTCTTCAAGGATGACCAAATGCTGACCTTGCCTTGTGCCCACCTTAGTGTAGTCAGAAGCCACAAGGCTGAAACCTGAGAGAGAAACAAACTCAGGAAGCAGTCCCCAACCCTGGAAGAAGCAGCTATCAGCACACTGAGAGTTTTCTGGAACAGGAAGGAAAACTTTTCCTTTACCAGGATGAATGTTAACTGAAAACCCTTCCCTCTGCCAACATGCATGAGAAACATTGGGCTGATTGAATATGCCACTTTTTTGAATCACTGCCTGATGGACATGGTAAAGGTAGCCCAGAATCTGCCCCCTCTCCCCATGTGGGAAGAGTCTCCTGGTGACACAGACTCTCTGGTCATCAAGGTTTGATTGCTGTCCCTATCTGTGACCCACCTGTTCTTCACTGATTGGCTGTGGCCCCTGGGACTGGTATGATGGCCACAGCTCATACTATGCAACCCTCTGCTTTCTTCTAGGTCATAGTGACTTCTGCTGGTGATGGGAGTAGCTGCTCTTAGAGGGCTGGGGTTCCTCATCTTGACATCTTCAGTATATTAGGCCTCTGTGTCAGAGCCCATGTTTTGCAGCAGGCTGCCTCTAAGGATGTCATGAGCATCCTTCTGTCTCATGTATAGGAAGACATTCCTTTGGACTTAGGTCCAGCTCTGAAGTATAGTGACAGGGACTTCATGCTGCTCAGAGAGCATTCCTCTCCCCAGACCATGCCATGTTGTTTGCATACTGGAGAAGATTCCTAATCCTTCTCTTGAAATGATGTTCTGGGGGAGACTGTCACTTCTTTGACAGGCATAGGGAAAACTTGCTCCCGACAGTGTGTGCTTATTTTCCTGACCTAAGCAAGGGCTCAGCTCACAGGCCTGGCAGGCCCTCACCCCTGCAAGCCTTTCTTTTTCTTGCTGTCCTGCTCTGGGCCTCCCATGGCCGACTCTCTCTGAGGTTGTGGAAATATCCTGCTGGGACTCCTTCTGAAATCTTCTCTTCAGTGACCAGCCCCTGCTGCTCGTGGCTGTACCTACAGCTCATTCAGGGCACAGTAGTTCACCAAAGTGTCCATGTGGCTTCTATGTGCACTCTGGAAGATGCTCAGAGGGATGAGAGAGCAGGGTGGCTGTGGTGGGATCATGACGTGGCAGGAGGAGGCCAGGGGACTGTTTGTGAGACGATCTCGACAAGTGTGCACCTTTGTCACTATCGTGCTGTCAGGCCCAGACACCTACATTCTAGAGGGGAGGAAGGGCTTTTCCTTGTCTCTGTGGAACCTGACTTTATCAGATTCATTGATAATTCTGGCGGTGACCCCATGCTCTTGTGCATGGTTAATTTGCATTCAGCAGTGACATCTACTGCATCTCCAGTGATTCCAACGTCATGGTAGTCACTGATGTTTGGAACCCTATTTCTGTCTCCATGGTGGTCACTTACTTCAGTGTCCTCTGACATTTCTAGGACACAGTCTCATAGCAAACTCCCTGATCCAATGGTCATACAGTCATTCTACCAACCCTTTCGCAATATTCCCTGACCCCGAGGTGAGGGAGTTGTTTTGTACTTGTATCCTTTGGAACTGCAGTCCACACTGTGCACTTTGATTGGTTGTGGTTTTGTGAAATCCTCTCCAAATACCAAATACTGGCCTAAAAGCATGCATACAGGTAACATTATGCAAACTAAATCAGTGCTACTAGGAATCTATATGTATATATAAGTAGATATATTCATGCAACAACAACTTATGAGAAAAGAGTCATGAATTGGGAGTAATATCTGGGAGTGTTTGTAGGGAAGAAAGAAAGTCAAAATGATTTATTATAATCTCAAAAATGAAGAGAAACAAGAACACTGAGGTTCACAATTTCTTCTTTAATCTCAAATTTACTGCTTACTGAAAGGAAAAATGTCTCTTTCGTGCTTTTCTGGTGTGTGTGTGTGTGTGTGTGTGTGTGTGTGTGTGTGTGTGTGTGTGTGCAGGAGTATGGGTATGTGTGCATGCATTGTCCCAGGGGTTGACGCTGGATGGTCTCTTCAGTTCCTGTCCACTTTGTATTTTGAGACAGATGTCTCACTGTATGTGTTCTTATTGACTCTTTGATTGGATGGTTTGCAGTCCAAGTGATCTGCTTGTCTCTGCACCCAGAGCTGTTGGGTTGCATGTGTGTTCTTCTTTCCTATCATTTTATGTGGCTTCCTGGGATGATGTAGTCCACAGACTTATGCAGTAAATTACATCGGATATTTTTAAGATCCTTCAGAGATTAAATCGAAAAAAATTGCCGGAGCTCACCCCACCAGCTGACAACGGGCTTCACTTCCCAGCTTCGACCCAGAAGGCTATTAACATTTTGTATAAAATTTCACCTCAGGTTAC